AACAAATGAAATAAACTAAACAGCACAGTGTAAAAGAAAAAATCATGTTCTGTGGTTTAAAATGCTGCTCATACAGGAAGTGCAGGATCCCACAACAAGGGGCTCCACGAAAGTATAGAACACTGCAGTCATCACGGATCATGCAGCGTCGTGTTTCAGGTCCCGTGGGTGTCGTTATTATCGCAGCGTCGCGTTTCAGGTCCCGTAGGTGTTGTTATTATCGCCGCATCGTGTTTCAGGTCCCGTAGGTGTCGTTATTATCGCCGCGTCGAGTTTCAGGTATCGTAGGTGTCGTTATTATCGCCGCGTCGTGTTTCAGGTATCGTAGGTGTCGTTATTATCGCCACGTCGTGTTTCAGGTATCGTAGGTGTCGTTATTATCGCCGCGTCGCGTTTCAGGTCCCGTTGGTGTCGTTATTATCGCCGCATTGTGTTTGAGGTATCGTTATTATCGCCGCATCGTGTTTCAGGTCCCGTAGGTGTCGTTATTATCGCAGCGTCGAGTTTCAGGTATCGTAGGTGTCGTTATTATCGCCGCGTCGTGTTTCAGGTATCGTTATTATCGCCGCGTCGTGTTTCAGGTCCTGTAGGTGTCGTTATTATCGCAGCGTCGAGTTTCAGGTATCGTAGGTGTCGTTATTATCGCTGCGTCGTTTTTCAGGTGTCGTTATTATCGCCGCGTCGTGTTTCAGGTCCTGTAGGTGTCGTTATTATCGCAGCGTCGAGTTTCAGATATCGTTATTATCGCCGCGTCGTGTTTCAGGTCCTGTAGGTGTCGTTATTATCGCAGCGTCGCGTTTCAGGTATCGTAGGTGTCGTTATTATAGCAGCGTCGAGTTTCAGGTATCGTAGGTGTCGTTATTATCGCAGCGTCGCGTTTCAGGTCCCGAAGGTGTCATTATTATCGCAGCGTCGCGTTTCAGGTCCCGTAGGTGTCGTTGTTATTGCCGCATCGAGTTTCAGGTATCGTAGGTGTCGTTATTATCGCCACGTCGCGTTTCAGGTATCGTAGGTGTCGTTATTATCGCAGCGTCGCGTTTCAGGTCCCATGGGTGTCGTTATTATCGCAGCGTCGAGTTTCAGGTATCGTAGGTGTCGTTATTATCGCAGTGTCGCGTTTCAGGTCCCGTAGGTGTCGTTATTATCGCAGCGTCGAGTTTCAGGTATCGTAGGTGTCGTTATTTTCGCCACGTAGTGTTTCAGGTATCGTAGGTGTCGTTATTATCGCAGCGTCGCGTTTCAGGTATCGTAGGTGTCGCTATTATCGCAGCGTCGCATTTCAGGTCCCGTAGGTGTCGTTGTTATTGCCGCATCGTGTTTCAGGTATCGTTATTATCGCAGCGTCGAGTTTCAGGTATCGTAGGTGTCGTTATTATCGCCTCGTCGCGTTTCAGGTCCCGAAGGTGTCATTATTATCGCAGCGTCGCGTTTCAGGTCCCGTAGGTGTCGTTATTATCGCCACGTCGCGTTTCAGGTATCGTAGGTGTCGTTATTATCGCAGCGTCGCGTTTCAGGTCCCGTAGGTGTCGTTATTATCGCCACGTCGCGTTTCAGGTATCGTAGGTGTCGTTATTATCGCAGCGTCGCGTTTCAGGTCCCGTGGGTGTCGTTATTATCGCAGCGTCGAGTTTCAGGTATCGTAGGTGTCGTTATTATCGCAGTGTCGCGTTTCAGGTCCCGTAGGTGTCGTTATTATCGTCACGTCGCGTTTCAGGTGTCGTAGGTGTCGTTATTATCGCAGCGTCGCGTTTCAGTTCCCATGGGTGTCGTTATTATCGCAGCGTCGAGTTTCAGGTATCGTAGGTGTCGTTATTATCGCAGCGTCGCGTTTCAGGTATCGTAGGTGTCGCTATTATCGCAGCGTCGCATTTCAGGTCCCGTAGGTGTCGTTGTTATTGCCGCATCGAGTTTCAGGTATCGTAGGTGTCGTTATTATCGCAGTGTCGCGTTTCAGGTCCCGTAGGTGTCGTTATTATCGCCACGTCGCGTTTCAGGTATCGTAGGTGTCGTTATTATCGCAGCGTCGCGTTTCAGGTCCCATGGGTGTCGTTATTATCGCAGCGTCGAGTTTCAGGTATCGTAGGTGTCGTTATTATCGCAGTGTCGCGTTTCAGGTCCCGTAGGTGTCGTTATTATCGCCACGTCGCGTTTCAGGTATCGTAGGTGTCGTTATTATCGCAGCGTCGCGTTTCAGGTCCCATGGGTGTCGTTATTATCGCAGCGTCGAGTTTCAGGTATCGTAAGTGTCGTTATTTTCGCCACGTAGTGTTTCAGGTATCGTAGGTGTCGTTATTATCGCAGCGTCGCGTTTCAGGTATCGTAGGTGTCGCTATTATCGCAGCGTCGCATTTCAGGTCCCGTAGGTGTCGTTGTTATTGCCGCATCGAGTTACAGGTATCGTAGGTGTCGTTATTATCGCCACGTCGCGTTTCAGGTATCGTAGGTGTCGTTATTATCGCAGCGTCGCGTTTCAGGTCCCATGGGTGTCGTTATTATCGCAGCGTCGAGTTTCAGGTATCGTAGGTGTCGTTATTATCGCAGTGTCGCGTTTCAGGTCCCGTAGGTGTCGTTATTATCGCAGCGTCGCGTTTCAGGTATCGTAGGTGTCGTTATTTTCGCCACGTAGTGTTTCAGGTATCGTAGTTGTCGTTATTATCGCAGCGTCGCGTTTCAGGTATCGTAGGTGTCGCTATTATCGCAGCGTCGCATTTCAGGTCCCGTAGGTGTCGTTGTTATTGCCGCATCGTGTTTCAGGTATCGTTATTATCGCAGCGTCGAGTTTCAGGTATCGTAGGTGTCGTTATTATCGCCTCGTCGCGTTTCAGGTCCCGAAGGTGTCATTATTATCGCAGCGTCGCGTTTCAGGTCCCGTAGGTGTCGTTATTATCGCCACGTCGCGTTTCAGGTATCGTAGGTGTCGTTATTATCGCAGCGTCGCGTTTCAGGTCCCGTAGGTGTCGTTATTATCGCCACGTCGCGTTTCAGGTATCGTAGGTGTCGTTATTATCGCAGCGTCGCGTTTCAGGTCCCGTGGGTGTCGTTATTATCGCAGCGTCGAGTTTCAGGTATCGTAGGTGTCGTTATTATCGCAGTGTCGCGTTTCAGGTCCCGTAGGTGTCGTTATTATCGTCACGTCGCGTTTCAGGTGTCGTAGGTGTCGTTATTATCGCAGCGTCGCGTTTCAGGTCCCATGGGTGTCGTTATTATCGCAGCGTCGAGTTTCAGGTATCGTAGGTGTCGTTATTATCGCAGCGTCGCGTTTCAGGTATCGTAGGTGTCGCTATTATCGCAGCGTCGCATTTCAGGTCCCGTAGGTGTCGTTGTTATTGCCGCATCGAGTTTCAGGTATCGTAGGTGTCGTTATTATCGCAGTGTCGCGTTTCAGGTCCCGTAGGTGTCGTTATTATCGCCACGTCGCGTTTCAGGTATCGTAGGTGTCGTTATTATCGCAGCGTCGCGTTTCAGGTCCCATGGGTGTCGTTATTATCGCAGCGTCGAGTTTCAGGTGTCGTAGGTGTCGTTATTATCGCAGTGTCGCGTTTCAGGTCCCGTAGGTGTCGTTATTATCGCAGCGTCGAGTTTCAGGTATCGTAGGTGTCGTTATTTTCGCCACGTAGTGTTTCAGGTATCGTAGGTGTCGTTATTATCGCAGCGTCGCGTTTCAGGTATCGTAGGTGTCGCTATTATCGCAGCGTCGCATTTCAGGTCCCGTAGGTGTCGTTGTTATTGCCGCGTCGTGTTTCAGGTCCCGTTGGTGTCGTTATTATCGCAGCGTCGAGTTTCAGGTATCGTAGGTGTCGTTATTATCGCAGCGTCGCGTTTCAGGTCCCGTAGGTGTCGTTATTATCGCAGCGTTGCGTTTCAGGTCCCGTAGGTGTCGTTATTATCGCAGCGTCGCATTTCAGGTCCCGTAGGTGTCGTTATTATTGCCGCATCGTGTTTCATGTGTCGTTATTATCGCAGCGTCGCGTTTCATGTCCCGAAGGGGTCGTTATTATCGCAGCGTCGCGTTTCAGGTATCGTAGGTGTCGTTATTATCGCAGCGTCGCGTTTCAGGTATCGTAGGTGTCGTTATTATCGCAGCGTTGCGTGTCAGGTATCGTAGGTGTCGTTATTATCGCAGCGTCGCGTTTCAGGTCCCGTTGGTGTCGTTATTATCGCCGCATTGTGTTTGAGGTATCGTTATTATCGCCGCATCGTGTTTCAGGTCCCGTGGGTGTCGTTATTATCGCAGCGTCGAGTTTCAGGTATCGTAGGTGTCGTTATTATCGCTGCGTCGTTTTTCATGTGTCGTTATTATCGCCGCGTCGTGTTTCAGGTCCTGTAGGTGTCGTTATTATCGCAGCGTCGAGTTTCAGATATCGTTATCATCGCCGCGTCGTGTTTCAGGTCCTGTAGGTGTCGTTATTATCGCAGCGTCGTGTTTCAGGTACCGTAGATGTCGTTGTCAACGGCACGTCGTGTTTCAGGTATCGTAGGTGTCGTTATTATCGCAGCGTCGCGTTTCAGGTCCCGTAGGTGTCGTTATTATCGCCGCGTCATGTTTCAGGTATCGTAGGTGTCGTTATTATCGCAGCGTTGTGTGTCAGGTCCCGTTGGTGTCGTTATTATCGCAGCGTCGTGTTTCAGGTACCGTAGATGTCGTTGTCAACGGCACGTCGTGTTTCAGGTACCGTAGATGTCGGTGACGCTGGATGCTGTGCCCCTTTTTAACTTACAAACTATTTCTAGCCAGTTTTGGAATACTGCATGTTTTTTCTCCATTAGTTTGCTGGCCAGTTGTGTCGAGCTGCTCCTCTAAACATTAAGGTGAACTCACGCTTTCACACCAGGATACTGAGGTAGAAACCAGAAATATGTTCATCCTTCATACGTTGCGTTTTTCAGATTCCTGTGTAAATTTATTCATAAAAATCACAACAGAAAGTGTTAATGACCAAACCTCCAGTTAAATCGAAGCAGTGACACAGAAGTGAAACAGAATCAGAAGCGTGATTTTTATTAAGAGAGGAATCATAAAAAGCTCATAAAAACATACAGTGAGAGAAAATCACAATCATGCAGACGGTTTAGTTTCCACTTGAACATCTGACTCACAATAGGCTTGGAGTTATTGAGTATCTTAGATGGGTCTAGGCTATCATTGTGCTAAGCTAGGTTAACCACATCTTTAACTTAAATCATTTTGCAGAGTGCTGGCAGCGACAAACCGACAAAGATATTTTAGTGTTTGACAGTCATGAAGGAGCAAAAACCCAACGACCCAAGTAAATCCAACGGAACCTATACAGAACCACTGCTCAGTAACCACTGGTCCACTTTTTATTAACCACTGGACCACTGCTCAGTAACCACTGGACCACTGCTCAGTAACCACTGGTCCACTTCTTATTAACCACTGGACCACTGCTCAGTAACCACTGGACCACTGCTCAGTAACCACTGGTCCACATCTTATTACACACTGGACCACTTCTTATTAACCACTGGACCACTGCTCAGTAACCACTGGTCCACATCTTATTACACACTGGACCACTTCTTATTAACCACTGGTCCACTTCTTATTAACCACTGGTCCACTGTTCAGTAACTACTGGACCACTGCTCAGTAACCACTGGTCCACTTCTTATTAACCACTGGACCACTGCTCAGTAACCACTGGTCCACTTCTTATTAACCACTGGTCCACGGTTCAGTAACTACTGGACCACTGCTCAGTAACCACTGGTCCACTTCTTATTAACCACTGGACCACTGCTCATTAACAACTGGACCACTGCTCATTAACCACTGGACCACTGCTCAGTAACCAATGGACCACTGCTCAGTAACCAATGGACCACTTCTTATTAACCACTGGACCACTGCTCATTAACAACTGGACCACTGCTCAGTAACCACTGGTCCACTTCTTATTAACCACTGGACCACTGCTCATTAACAACTGGACCACTGCTCAGTAACCAATGGACCACTTCTTATTAACCACTGGACCACTGCTCATTAACAACTGGACCACTGCTCAGTAACCACTGGTCCACTTCTTATTAACCACTGGACCACTGCTCATTAACAACTGGACCACTGCTCATTAACAACTGGACCACTGCTCATTAACCACTGGACCACTGCTCATTAACAACTGGACCACTGCTCAGTAACCACTGGTCCACTTCTTATTAACCACTGGACCACTGCTCATTAACAACTGGACCACTGCTCAGTAACCAATGGACCACTTCTTATTAACCACTGGACCACTGCTCATTAACAACTGGACCACTGCTCAGTAACCAATGGACCACTGCTCAGTAACTACTGGTCCACTTCTTATTAACCACTGGACTACTGCTCATTAGCCACTGGACCACTGCTCAGTAACTACTGGTCCACTTCTTATTAACCACTGGTCCACTGCTCAGTAACCACTGGTCCACTTCTTATTAACCACTGGACCACTGCTCATTAACAACTGGACCACTGCTCAGTAACCAATGGACCACTGCTCAGTAACTACTGGTCCACATCTTATTAACCACTGGACTACTGCTCATTAACAACTGGACCACTGCTCAGTAACCAATGGTCCACTGCTCAGTAACCACTGGACCACTGCTCATTAACCACTGGACCACTGCTCAGTAACCACTGGTCCACTTCTTATTAACCACTGGACCACTGCTCATTAACCACTGGACCACTGCTCATTAACAACTGGACCACTGCTCAGTAACCACTGGTCCACTTCTTATTAACCACTGGACCACTGCTCATTAACAACTGGACCACTGCTCAGTAACCAATGGACCACTGCTCAGTAACTACTGGTCCACTTCTTATTAACCACTGGTCCACTGCTCAGTAACCACTGGTCCACTTCTTATTAACCACTGGACCACTGCTCATTAACAACGGGACCACTGCTCAGTAACCAATGGACCACTGCTCAGTAACTACTGGTCCACTTCTTATTAACCACTGGACCACTGCTCATTAACAACTGGACCACTGCTCAGTAACCAATGGACCACTGCTCAGTAACTACTGGTCCACATCTTATTAACCACTGGACTACTGCTCATTAACAACTGGACCACTGCTCAGTAACCAATGGTCCACTGCTCAGTAACCACTGGACCACTGCTCATTAACCACTGGACCACTGCTCAGTAACCACTGGTCCACTTCTTATTAACCACTGGACCACTGCTCATTAACAACGGGACCACTGCTCAGTAACCAATGGACCACTGCTCAGTAACTACTGGTCCACATCTTATTAACCACTGGACTACTGCTCATTAGCCACTGGACCACTGCTCAGTAACTACTGGTCCACTTCTTATTAACCACTGGACCACTGTTCAGTAACTACTGGTCCACTGCTCAGTAACCACTGGTCCACTGCTCGTTAATGTCATTGGTTGCCAACATTACTTGCGGCGACTGGATCTGAAGACCTCCTATTACACTCTTTACATGTCACAGACTGAATGATTTAATTTGCTCACTGTCAACACCAACTGGCCCAGACTGGATCAGACATGGTCCAACTTTATCCCACCAGTCATCAGAAATCACATTCATCACCAGAGATACAGTCCACACTTTCGTGAGCGGTGTAGAAGTGCGGCAGAAGAGATCAGTTGGTCAATTCCACTCCGACTTCTGACCTCCGTTTGCCAGTGTTGTCAGAAACAGCTGAGACGACAAACTGTCTCCTGGCTGATTGTCAGCAGAAATTTAAAATAACCTTGCTGTGTGCTCCACAGGACGAAAACAGCTAAACAGCATTTCTTTGACTGACTGATCTTCGGCCTGCAGTGAAACCAGAAAGCTCATGGTGACGCTGGGAGACTTGATCCATCATTACAGATACTGTTTATAAGTTCACAACATCCAGGATGTACCGCTGTCTGATCCACGGCTGAGCCTGACTGACAGACTCAAACCTTTTTATTGAGGCATCAACACGACTTGTTCTCGTAGATCATAAACCTGAAACCTTGTTTCTTTTGTTCGTTTAACACTAATGAACTGTACAGCCTCAGGGGAGGTACTGTGGTGGAGCTTTATTGTGTCCAGTGTTGTGTTTACAGCAATGTGACGAGCCAATCACAGCTCAGTCTGAAGCATCGCCAGCTTGTTTATTCTAGAATGTCTTGTCTGGTCAAACATTTGATCTTGGTTTTCCTGTTGAAGCTTCCAGGTTGTTTTATTCAGGCAGTCTGACTGTTTTCTGATGTTTTCGAGCATCAATCTAAGAAATGGAGAAAGCTAAATGTATCCATCCAGAGTTCGTCTCACTGACACTGTTCAAACCCTGATTTGATTATTTAGCACCCTTTGCCTTTTTAAAGAACAATTAGACACCAAAAGGTACAAATCTGGTTTCATGACATACAAAAGTGTCCCTGTCACTCTCAAGGACAGACTCATCTTGTCACAAAACATCTGTGTGCAGGCTTCATTACAGGTTTAAGGAGTCATTCAAATGTTGCCTCGTATGCTGATGTTTACAAAACCAGTTCCATCTGAAGGCATCAGACCTGCAGAGCTCTGAGGACACAGCAACAGTTTTCCAAACTTCAGATCTGGACGGCATCGATGGCACTTTTCTTTGGCTCCTCAGATTCAGAACTTATTGACAGTCTCCCGGAGGTCCCGGAAGTCATTTACGGCTACAGAGCATCTCTTGAGACCTTGGAGGTTTTGAAGCCGGTCAGTTTGTTCCAGCTCGTCCTGGTCTTTCAGAGGTCCATGCCTCCTCAGGTCGAATGCTAACCGGTCACAGGGATGTGGACCTGCTTGGATGGCACCTCCTGCTCAGCTGGGGCGACCGGGACATTGATGTTTGGGTCGTCGTCGACCTGGTAACACTTTCCCAGGTTCTTGATGATGTTAAAGTTGGACCGGGCTGTTTCTGCCAGGCTGTTCTCCAGAATCCAACCGTCCGACTCTGAGTCAGGATCACCCAGCCGGAGAACGTTCTCCATGGCCGTCTGCAGGTACCGGACTCCTGTCAAAACCAGCAGCTGGTGGGAGAAGAAAAACACGGTGTCTTTGGTGTGGCATGGACTCAGGGCTGGACAGACCTGACCAGCGCTCACCAATATGTGGAATGAAGAATTTCAAATACACAATGACAAAGGGCAGCTGGTCTTTTTCTAATAGTTACAGAGGATGGGTAGATTTATAGCAGTTAGAGGGACAGAGAAGGCCAGCATGGGAAATTCATCACTGATCAGATCATTAATATATAATCACAGATCATTAATATATAATCACATGTCATCTACATAGTGTATAATATCAGGGTGTTTTCTAAGAGAAAGAACTGACTGAAACTATCGCTGCAGGTGGCGAGCCAGGAGAGCTATCTGTTGCAAGACGTGCCAGTAAAAAAAGGACGGGTAAGGTCGGGGCCTTCAGGGATACAGCGATTCACGACTTAAAATGAATGTGGAACCGGCGCCCTACTATTGGCGCTCATGCCCTTAACCTTCTGATGACATTCTGCCAGCTTAATACCAACCCAAACTGGACCCAGAACAGCTGCGGAGTTGTTGAAAGGATTTTAATGGCCGTGGATCTTTACCTCAAACAGCCAGATGAGGAGCACGGTGAGGCCGATGGACTGCATGATGCCGGTGTAGTGGTCCATCAGGGCCTGCCGGCAGCCTCTCCTCCACAGGTTCAGCTGCTGGCTCTGCTGGTTATAGTTGAAATGTGCCGAGCTGTTGCTGACCTGCTGCTGGATGCAGGGCCGAGGGGAGAAGGTGCTGCAGCAGCTGAAGGGAACGCCGTCCATCAGGTACTTCCCCTCCACGTTGCTCCTCAGACGGCTGCAGGAAGGAGCAGCCAGCTGTTAATGGCTGCTACTGTTACTACCGCTACCGCCACTACTGCTACTACTGCTACTACTACTGCTACTGCTGCTATTGCTACTGTTACTACCGCTACTGCTGCTACTGCCACTACTGCTGCTACTGCTACTACTACTGCTACTGCTGCTATTGCTACTGTTACTACCGCTACCGCCACTACTGCTACTACTGCTACTACTTCTACTGCTACTACTGCTACTACTACTGCTACTGCTGCTACTGCTATTACTTCTACTGCTACTACTGCTACTGCTGCTACTGCTACTACTGCTACTACTGCTATTACTTCTACTGCTACTACTACTGCTACTGCTGCTACTGCCACTACTGCTATTACTTCTACTGCTACTACTGCTACTGCTGCTACTGCTACTACTGCTACTACTGCTATTACTTCTACTGCTACTACTACTGCTACTGCTGCTACTGCTGCTACTGCCACTACTGCTACTACTGCTATTACTTCTACTGCTACTACTGCTACTACTGCTGCTACTGCCACTACTGCTACTACTGCTATTACTTCTACTGCTACTACTACTGCTACTACTGCTACTACTGCTACTGCTACTACTGCTGCTACTGCTACTACTGCTATTACTTCTACTGCTACTGCTGCTACTGCTGCTACTGCTACTACTGCTACTACTGCTATTACTTCTACTGCTACTACTACTGCTACTGCTGCTACTGCTACTACTGCTACTACTGCTATTACTTCTACTGCTACTACTACTGCTACTGCTGCTACTGCCACTACTGCTACTACTGCTATTACTTCTACTGCTACTACTGCTACTACTACTGCTACTGCTGCTGCTACTGCTTCTACTACTACTGCTGCTACTGCTGCTACTGCTGCTACTACTGCTACTGCTACTGCTACTACTGCTACTACTGCTACTACTACTGCTGCTGCTGTTACTGCTACTACTGCTGCTACTGCTGCTACTGCTGCTACTGCTACCGCTACTGCTGTTGCTACTGCTACTACTAATGCTACTACTGCTACTACTGCTACTACTAATGCTACTACTACTACTACTACTGTTACTACTGCTGCTACTGCTGCTACTGCTACCGCTATTGCTGCTGCTACTGCTACTGCGACCGCTATTGCTGCTGCTACTGCTACTGCTACTGCTGCTACTGCTGCTACTAATGCTACTACTACTACTACTACTGTTACTACTGCTGCTACTGCTGCTACTGCTACCGCTACTGCTGCTGCTACCGCTATTGCTGCTGCTACTGCTACTGCTACTACTGCTACTACTGCTACTACTAATGCTACTACTACTACTACTACTGTTACTACTGCTGCTACTGCTACTGCTGCTGCTGCTACTGCTACTGCTACCGCTATTGCTGCTGCTACTGCTACTGCTGCTGCTACTGCTACCGCTACTGCTGCTGCTACTGCTACCGCTATTGCTGCTGCTACTGCTACTGCTGCTACTGCTACTACTAATGCTACTACTACTACTACTACTGTTACTACTGCTGCTACTGCTGCTGCTACTACTGCTACTACTAATGCTACTACTACTACTACTACTGTTACTACTGCTGCTACTGCTACCGCTATTGCTGCTGCTACTGCTACTACTACTGCTGCTACTGCTGCTACTGCTACCGCTATTGCTACTGCTACTGCTACTACTACTGCTACTAATGCTACTAATGCTACTACTACTACTACTACTACTGTTACTACTGCTGCTACTGCTGCTACTGCTGCTACTAATGCTACTACTACTACTACTACTACTGCTTCTGCTGCTGCTACTGCTACCGCTACTGCTACCGCTACTGCTGCTGCTACTGCTACCGCTATTGCTGCTGCTACTGCTACTGCTACTACTGCTACTACTACTACTACATCTACTACTGCTACTACTACTGCTGCTACTGCTGCTACTGCTACCGCTATTGCTACTGCTACCGCTACTGCTGCTGCTACTGCTACCGCTATTGCTGCTGCTACTGCTACTGCTACTACTGCTACTACTACTACTACAGCTACTACTGCTACTACTAATGCTACTACTACTACTACTACTGTTACTACTGCTGCTACTGCTGCTGCTGCTACTGCTATTGCTGCTGCTACTGCTACTGCTACTACTGCTATTATCAGTGCTACTATGTTCACCGCTGCTCAGAGTATTTCAGTCAGCACCGCTCCATTGTCACTAACATTTCTTATTTACTCAAATTTCCTTTAATGAGGCCAGTGTGTTGGGAATATTAACCTACTGAGAGGTTCTGTAGTGCTGAACTCAGTGTTCTGGTTTCTGGTGTTGGTGTGATGGTTCACCATCCAAACACTCACTGGAGACATGGTGGTGCAGTTTTCACATCTAAATGAAGATGTGTGACCAAATACAATAAATGACTTCCAACACCAGAATCCACAAGGGTCTACTGCAGCTGGATCCATTGGGTTCCACAACAGAACCAAACTAGAATCCAAGCTGATCCTCTAACAAAGATCCACCAGAACCCGGTATCTAGATTAAGGGAGATCCATCAGAATCCACCTTTAATCCAAATTATTAAAGAGGATCCACTAACCCCCAGAAGAACAGCTGGGTCCCACTAGAACGTAGTCTTTGGGGTTGTGTAGTCCTACAGAGACCACTCAGGATCTAATCTATAAAGCTGCCTTCAGATTGAATTGATCTTATTTATTGATTCACCAGAGGCAGCTGACAGACGTTAGTTGTAGTTGAAACTGCTGAGCTGGTGTGTTAGTGGAGTCGTGCACTTTGGGATAAACCAGATTTGATCTATTTTAACTTGACACGACTCAGTTTGCTTCACCTGGAGTAGTTTCACACTGACTCTCATCTTTCACTGGCTGTCAGACTGCTCCATGTCGGATATTTCACACTCTAGTTAGACATACTGGACTCAGGTAAAATCCAGTATTCACCAGGATCCACTAGAAACTGTTGGACTCTACGAGACTGAGACAGAACCTGCCAGAATTCAGCAGGATTTATTGGGTCCAACAAGGATCCTCTCAAATCCAAAAGAGACTCCAAAAGACTCCAGTGAATCCCAGCAGGTCTGGCTCCACTTACTCCACCACGGTGCTGCTGGTCATGTCCAGATAGCGGTTGCTGATCCACTGGACCTGAAACCAGTCCCGGTACCCAGTGTTCCCACAGCACTGGAACTGGATCTGCAGCAAGTCCAGAGTTCTCTTCAGGTAGCAGCGGCCCGGCGTGTCCGTGTCCTTGTAGTACCGCATGGCGTTCCTCAGGCCCAGCAGCAGTGACTCCTCCAGCTGGCTGTGGATGCTGTAGCACATGAGCGCCCCCACCAGGATGCAGGAGGTGAAGAAGAAGGTGCAGACGACGTACGGCATCATCACCAGCTTCCAGCGTAGGAACTTGTTGGTGTCGGCGCAGTCTAGGCAGATCTTCCCACCCAGGAAATTGATGCAGCAGGCCGCCAGGCCCGTGATGATCAGCGTGTGTGGCACGTAGAGGATCCCCTGGTCTGACATCACTTCCTGCCATTTCTGAATCTCTACTTTGAGGAATAAGCCCAGGCCGAAGAGGATCGCTCCCGTCACCACAGAGATCCAGTTGAGCAGCCAGAGGACTTCGGCTAGCTTCTCCCTCTCCGCCTTGGTGAAGGTCACCTTCCCCACCGCCATGTCAGTCCTGCAGTTTTACGCGACTCACGTCCAGGCAGCCGAGAACATGGTCAAAACACGCCTGAGGGTCCAGAACCACGAGGTGCTGCATTAGAAACCTCTCTTGTCTAAATAGTTATTTTCTACGTGACGTGATCTCAGAGGTAAATTTATTTTCAGCTGTTTGTGTGTGAATGTTGAAAAGTGGTCCCTTAATTAGAGGTTGGCGTTCCCCTTAATGCCCCGCCTCGCCTGGCCCAGCTCGGGCCTCGTCTGGCCCAGCTCGGGTAGCACCGAAGCTAGCTGGCCTACGCTGAGTCACAGCCGAGACTCTTTTATGGCTGCACGTTTCCAGCGAATGCAAATGTTAATTTGTCCAAAGCTCAGTGACGGATCTGGTTCTTATATTCCATGAGTTTGTAAAAAGCACCAGAACATCTGCGGGGTTCGAAGAGCGAAAGCCTCCCAGACGGTCCGTTCCAATCAGGTCTCACCGGCCCCTCGTCTGTTCGACCATCAGCCGGCGGGTCACACGGTCTGCGGTCACCTCATCGCCCTCACATCCAGTCCACAGGACCCGGGGAGGTCAGAGGTCGGGGGGGCGCTCCCTTCAGAGGAGTGCTGGAGGAAAGAGGAGGGAGGAGGCCGGCGGCTGCTCTCTGCAGAGCGTCATAAGGAGCTTAGTGAGGTATTTTAGGTTCTCTTGACTGCAGTCCACAACTCCAAGACACAGCCGGAATGTGACCCCTGCAGGGGGACAAGAAGGTGAAAGGTCAAAGAGATACTGGACCTCATGAACCCTGTCTGTGTGGAACCTGTTGACAGAAAGAAATGTTCCCATATTTCAAAGATATTCTGCGGAGACCTACCGCTCGTCCTCTGACGCTGTTCATGGCAGAAAACTGCTCAGTGATCACTTTCATACTAAAGTGCAGTTAACCAACAACAGCTCAGGTTTCAGTGCAGACAGGGACCAGGACCAGGACCAGGACCAGGACTGTTCTGCAGCCTGAGGTTCTTACAGCTCGTCACTAACGTTCATAAATATCTCCAGTCGTTCAAACCCAAAGCTCCTGCGAGACTTCAGAGGTTATTTAACTAAGATGAGACACACGGAGCTGAAGATAAAGCAGACAGAACTTTACCTCGCTGACCTGCGGGACATTCAGCGGCTCGTCCGTCTCCCCTCCAGCCTCCCATCGTCTCCGGCAGGTCGGCCAAACCTCCAGAGCAGTTGGACAAATATTGTGTCTGAATGAGGTTTTCAGGCGCCTGCTGACCTGCGCTGCTAATCTCCTTACAGCTAATCAGCCTCGTAATACGCTGAGAAATCTCCAACCCCCCCCCCCCTCACCGGCTGTACCATCAGCAGGACGCCGCAGCGCATCCACCCGACTGGGTGCACCGGGACACGGTAGAGTACAGCAGAGTCCCGGTCCGTCTGAGACTCCTGTGGCCTTTCTTTGTTTCCTGTGAACCCTGGCAAATGGGTTTTTCTCTGTCTTACAGCTTCTGTGTCTCCCACGCCATCAGCATCATCACGCTTAACCAGGACCGCCATCATTCCTCCACGCTCGCCTGGTCTCACCTGCCACACCTCCCCAGCCTCTGTCTAACCTTTGGCAGCGTGAGTCTCTAAAGTAAGGACACGGATTCTCTGAGGCTCCTGCTGAGCTCTGAAAACTGTCCACACGGACCTGCTCTGCTGCGACATCTGTGGGAAGAAGGAGTGCAGCTCTTCCAACAGGACCACCTGTCAGCATGTGGCTGCTGCTCTCTATCAGATTCAGCAGGTTGTCTTCGAACGCTCGTCCTACGAAGACGAAGGAGTCCTCAGTGAGAGGACCCTCCCCCTGTAGATACTACAGACCTGCTCACTGGGACCTCTCTGGTCCTCATCCCAACACCTGCTCCCTGCTTCGTGTCTGCTGGTCTATGTGTTCTAATAATATCACGCAGTGACTTAAAGGTCCAGGTCCTGGCCCAGGTCCAGGTCCAGGTTTAAGTCCAGGTCCAGGTCCAGGTCCAAGTCCAAGTCCAAGTCCAGGTCCAGGTTTAAGTCCAAGTCCAAGTCCAAGTCCAGGTTTAAGTCCAGGTCCAAGTCCAAGTCCAAGTCCAGGTCCAGGTTTAAGTCCAAGTCCAAGTCCAAGTCCAAGTCCAGGTTTAAGTCCAGGTCCAGGTTTAAGTCCAGGTCCAGGTTTAAGTCCAAGGTCCGGTCCAGGCCCAGGTCCTGGTCCAGGCCCAGGTCCAGGTCCAGGTCCAGGTTTAAGTCCAGGTCCAGGTCCAGGTCCAAGTCCAAGTCCAAGTCCAGGTTTAAGTCCAGGTCCAAGTCCAAGTCCAAGTCCAGGTCCAGGTTTAAGTCCAAGTCCAAGTCCAAGTCCAAGTCCAGGTTTAAGTCCAGGTCCAGGTCCAGGTTTAAGTCCAAGGTCCAGGTCCAGGCCCAGGTCCTGGTCCAGGCCCAGGTCCAGGTCCAGGTTTAAGTCCAGGTCCAGGTCCAGGTCCAAGTCCAAGTCCAAGTCCAAGTCCAAGTCCAGGTTTAAGTCCAAGTCTAAGTCCAAGTCCAAGTCCAAGTCCAGGTCCAGGTTTAAGTCCAAGTCCAAGTCCAAGTCCAGGTTTAAGTCCAGGTCCAGGTCCAGGTCCAAGTCCAAGTCCAAGTCCAGGTCCAGGTTTAAGTCCAAGTCCAAGTCCAAGTCCAGGTTTAAGTCCAGGTCCAGGTCCAGGTTTAAGTCCAAGGTCCAGGTCCAGGCCCAGGTCCTGGTCCAGGCCCAGGTCCAGGTCCAGGTCCAGGTTTAAGTCCAGGTCCAGGTCCAAGTCCAAGTCCAAGTCCAAGTCCAAGTCCAGGTTTAAGTCCAGGTCCAGGTCCAGGTTTAAGTCCAAGGTCCAGGTCCAGGCCCAGGTCCTGGTCCAGGCCCAGGTCCAGGTCCAGGTTTAAGTCCAGGTCCAGGTCCAGGTCCAAGTCCAAGTCCAAGTCCAGGTTTAAGTCCAAGTCTAAGTCCAAGTCCAAGTCCAGGTCCAGGTTTAAGTCCAAGTCCAAGTCCAAGTCCAGGTTTAAGTCCAGGTCCAGGTCCAGGTCCAAGTCCAAGTCCAAGTCCAGGTCCAGGTCCAGGTTTAAGTCCAAGTCCAAGTCCAAGTCCAGGTTTAAGTCCAGGTCCAGGTCCAGGTTTAAGTCCAAGGTCCAGGTCCAGGCCCAGGTCCTGGTCCAGGCCCAGGTCCAGGTCCAGGTCCAGGTTTAAGTCCAGGTCCAGGTCCAGGTCCAAGTCCAAGTCCAAGTCCAAGTCCAGGTTTAAGTCCAAGTCCAAGTCCAAGTCCAGGTCCAGGTTTAAGTCCAGGTCCAGGTCCAGGTCCAGGTCCCGGCCCGTGGATTCTGCTTCTCTCTTGTATTGAATAAGTCTGTGCAGGTCTGGCTTTATGACCACATCAACCCTCTGAGGGCTGAACAGCAGGGACCAGAATTACATTCATATTATAATTATTTTATTCTAGAGCGGCTCCAAACATTAAAACGGCGCTCACCGTCTGACAGATCAGAAGGGAAACTTTGTTCATGACAATAATAAATTCCAGCTGAGCTGCAGTGCCGCCGTGAGGCCGCTGGGTGGCGCCACCAGGCTGCTTTCACAGGAAGTTTCCTTCTTTAAAGGTTCGGACACCCCTCAGGGAGACTGAAGGCCGGCCTCTGATGGACAGATATTATTACATCGTGTTTTCTGAAACTCCCTCTGAGCGTCATTTGGTGCATTCTGGGAAAAGCTGTGGAATTAAATGACTAAAGCTGAAAATGTTTATGAAACCTGGAGGTGATGTCCTGACTGCAGAGGACTGAAGGACGACCCGCTGACCAGCGGCTCCGTCTGCCTTCATTAACCTTACAGTTAGAGAAAGCTCCTGCTAACAGGGGGTTTCCTTATTATTATTCTTGTTATTATTCTATCATTCTAATTATTATTATTATTCTTGCTGTTATTATTATTTTTGTTATTATTATTCTTGTTATTATTATTCTTGTTATTTTTCTAATTATTCTAATTATTATTTATTATTGTTATTTTTCTAATCATTCTAATTATTATTATTCTTGCTGTTATTATTCTTGTTTATTATTCTTGTTATTATTATTCTTGTTATTATTATTCTTGTTATTTTTCTAATCATTCTAATTATTATTATTATTCTTGCTGTTATTATATTCTTGTTATTATTATTCTTGTTATTTTTCTAATCATTCTAATTATTATTATTATTCTTGCTGTTATTATTATTCTTTTATTTTCTAATTATTCTAATTATTATTATTATTCTTGCTGTTGTTATTATTATTCTTGTTATTATATTATCTTGTTATTATTATTCTTGTTGTTACTATTATTCTTGTTATTATTATTCTTGTTATTCTTCTTCTTATTATTATTATTATTATATTGTTATTATTATTCTTGTTGTTATTCTTCTTCTTCTTCTTCTTCTTCTTCTTCTTATTGTTATTATTATTATTATTGTTATTATTATTCTTGTTGTTATTATTATTCTTGTTGTTATATTCTTATTATTATTGTTATTATTATTCTTGTTGTTGTTGTTGTGTTGTTGTTCTTCTTCTTCTTCTTCTTCTTCTTCTTTATTGTTATTATTATTCTTGTTGTTATTATTATTCTTGTTGTTATTATTATTCTTGTTGTTATTATTATTCTTGTTGTTATTATTCTTATATTATTATGTTATTATTATCTTGTTATTATTATTCTAATTATATTATTATTATTGTTGTTATTTTCTGGGCCATAAGAGAGAGTTTTATTAATTGCATGCACTTATTGCAGGTGAACAGGTGAGTAAATAAAAAATAAATAAATATAAAAGAAGACTTTGTTTACTCTGTTCTGTGATGATGTCACACAGATGGGGGTGGGGGGGGGGCGGTACCAGTCACTCCCAGCTCCTGTCAATCACGGCCTGACGTCATGTACCCAGAGCGTTTCCGGTGCAGGAAGGGGGGGGGCCGTGTTCCTCAGGGAGAAGCACTCAGGTGAGTCAGGTCAGCACAGAGCAGCAGGGACTGACTTCCGGGACAGGGAGAGTTTCCTTCAAAATAAAAGCACGGAGAGGCTGCCTCTGTCAACAGACTGAAGTGTTATTATGATATGAATTACTTTCTTCTTCTCTGTTTTCTGTCACCTTTTAACTTCCTGTTTTTATTTTCTCTGGACATGTAAATAACTAAACACGATCTTTATTTTATTGTATTTTTGTGTTCTCTCACAACTTCTGTGTACATTTAGTAAATGTCATACGTTGGTATTATTATTATCTTGTATGTCTGTTGTCACTTATTAAATCACCAGAGCAAACGTCCTTCCTGTGAGTGTAAAAACCAAATAAATCTGTTTGTGTTTCTGATGAACGCGTTTATTAAAACAGTCAGAAAGTTGTTTTTAGATGATGGTGCATAGATAAGATGCCTGCCTTTGGTGTGGGAGACCTGGGTTCAGTTCCCACTGTGAGACGTCCACCATTGTGTCCCTGAGCAGGACACTAGTTGCTCCAGAGGCGTGAGACCTCTGACATGTACAGCAACTGTAAGTCGCTTTGGATAAAAGCGTCGGCTAAATTAATAAATGTAAATGTATTAGTGAATCACACTTTCCTGAAAAAGCCTTGTTCTGTTCGACGTGTATATATATACACATGTATACATATACTATATATACGTATGAGTATATATACACATGTATACATACTATATATATACGTATGAGTATATATTACACATGTATACATATACTATATATATACGTATGAGTATATATATACACATGTATACATATACTATATATACGTATGAGTATATATAACACATGTATACATATACTATATATATACGTATAGTATAT